TACATCTGCAAGCTATTAATATATGATTTTGCAAGCAGTTACTGCTAACGACCTACTAACAACCTAGCTAACAACCTCCAACAGCTAACAACCTCCTAACTGCTGCTGACTCAGCTAACTGTTGTTTACACAGCTTACATGCATACGTATGCTGCATATACCTCTAATATCCCCCCTGCATCTTCACCTTCCTTCCTTCATCGCAACACAACACACACTTTGTCACGAAATTCTTTAAACGCTTCTTTTGATGACATAAATATGGCCAGCAGCCACCTTTTCCCTTACAAAATGAACATCCAATTCAACATGCTTGGACTGTGCATGATATATTGGGTTGGCACTCATAGCCACCGCACTCGTGTTATCACACCAAATCACTGATTCCCTTGCTGCTGAACACCAAGATCAGTTAACAGTGTGCTACTCCACGTGACTTCAGCTGCAGCATCAACAATACTTTTGTATTCAGCTTCCATGGTTGACCTAGACATCGACCGTTGCTTCTTCAAACTCCACGCAATAAGGCATTTGCCTATGAATACTCCATAACCCGATATTAACCTTCGATCATCCAGGTTGGTGCCCCAGTCTGCATCTGCAAAGGCTGAGACCAACGTTCTGGTGTCAGTTGGTGAGAACAACAACCCATAGTTTACAGTACTTGCTAGATACCTAAGGATTCTTTTCACTATAGCAAAGTGTGTCACTCAGGGTGCATGCATGAACTGAGCAACTTTGCCTACACTTAACGATAAATCAGGTCGAGTGTGACATAGGTAAAGAAGTGAACCAACAATGCTCCTATATTCACTTGCATCCTCCAACAGTTCTCATTCCTTGCGAGACAGCTTGCAAGCCAAGGTCATCGGTGTAGAACATACATCAACAGTTTTCATACCCACCTTTTCTAGTAACTCTAAAGAGAACTTCTTTTGACTAAGCACAAGTGACTTGCTACCTCGTAATACTTCAATTCCTAGAAAATAACTCAATGTTCCCAAATCCTTGAGAGAAAACTTCCTTTGTATCATATCAACAACTGCTTTAATCCCAAGCGAGGACCCTTCTGTGATCAATATGACATCCACATAAACTAATATGTATACTCGACCACTATCTTTAAAGAACAGAGATGAGTCTGTTCGAGAAACTTGAAACCCTATCTCCAACAAGGCTTCTTTTAGTTTGGAGTGCCAATTGCGAGGTGCTTGCTTTAGTCCATACAGTACCTTCTGTAATTTGCACACCAAGGGAGAACCATCATCAGATAACTGCTCGAAACCCGACGGCTGTTGCATGAACACATCCTCTTTAAGATCACCATTGATTAAGGCATTGTTTATATCTATATGCCTCAACTCCCATGCATTAGAAACTGCCAAAGTAAGAATAACATTCACTGTGGAGAATTTGACCACCGAACTGAAGGTGTCACAAAAGTCATGTCCAGGAACTTGAGTGAACCCTTTGGCCACTAATCGGGCCTTATATCGATGAATGGAACCATCAGGGTTACGCTTTAGTTTAAACAGCCACTTGCAGCCAACTACCGTTCGTCCAGGTGGAAGTTTAACCAGTGACCATGTCTTATTCCTCTGTAAAGCATCAATTTCAGCCTGAACTGCATTCTTCCATTCTGAAGACTGCATTGCTTCATATACACTCGTAGGAACTTTATCATCAAAGTGACTTGAGAATGCTTTTGGTTTAAAAATACCGCATTTACTCCTCGTCAACATTGGATGAATATTTTGTAGCTGACGTGTTCCAGTTTATTAATTGAGTTCATGTATCATTGCTTGACCATAGTTACTGGTATCACCATGTACTTCAAAGGTTTCAGCAGTGTCTGCCTCATCAGAAAATTCTTCCTCATTATTTGGTTGATCCGAATGCTGATCAATGTGGCCACTGCTACTAACCTGCAGATCAAGACTGTTCCCCATATGTAAATCAGGCTCTTCATGCATATTTATACTCCCCTCATAGTCTTGTGACTCACCCCTAAGAGGTTCATGAAGATCCTGATTACTACCACCTTGCATGTTTATAAGCTGCTTGACACGTGAGACTATTTCAAGCTTATGAGGGCAGTACACATTTTTGTCAGGACAAGTTGAGATGTTGCTTCTTTCTTTAAAGGGAAATGCCCATTCATTGAATACCACATGCCTCGATACATAGACCCGACCATCACGAGCTAAGCATTGATATCCTTTATGTTTTGGGCTAACAACCAAATATGTGCAGGGGTGAGATCGAAAAATCAAACTTATGCTTCTGAAATGGTCGAAGATGGGGAAAACAAAGGCATCCAAAGACTTTAAGTGTTTTGTAGTCTGGTTTTTTTCCATACAGCTTCTCAAAAGGAGAAATTTCTTGTAGCACCTTTGTTGGTAGTTTGTTAATAAGACTAACTACAGTAACAATAGCATAAGACCAAAATTTTATAGGCATTGAGGCTTGAGATAGTAGGACCAGTGCTAATTCAACTAGATGACGATGTCTTCTCTCAACCATACCATTTTACTCAGACGTATATGGACATGACAACCTATGAACAATGCCAGCCTTGGCCAAAATATCAGTGAAGGATCGAAACTCCCCACCCCAGTCACTTTGGACTGCTTTGATGGATAACCCAAATTGTGTGTGCACCATTTTCTAAAATAGCTCAAAAGCTACAATGGCTTGATACTTTGTGCGAAGCATGTAAAGCCATGTATGTCGAGAGAAAGCATCAACAAACGATATGTAATACCGAAAACCGTTTGAAGAAACGTGAGGAGGTCCCCATAAATCAGTGTGGACAAGCTAGAAAGGAGAATTATATTCAGTAGTGAATTGAACAAATGGTAGTTTGTGACTCTTTCCTACATGACAGGCAGAACAAACTTTATTTACATCAAAAAATTTTGCTATCTTATTCAAAGTGTCAAAAGAGGGGTGACCCAATCGTCTATGCCATAATTCATCAATTGGAAAAGACTTCAAAGCAATATTGACATCTTCCTTCACTGCTGCACAGACTTTCTCAAAGGAATATAAGCCATCTATTTCTTCACCACTCAACAAGACTTGTCCAGTTGCCTCTCACGCACATAACATTTCTTGGCATTGAACTCAAGGAAGACATTGTTATCCCTAGCAAGCTTAGAGACCGAGAGAAGGTTTTTGGTTATTTGAGGGACATGTAACAAGTCATTTAGCAATATCACATGAGAAGTAGAAGACATAACAACTTTTTCAACCCTATCAATATCAAGTGCAACTCCATTACCTACAGTAAGCTTACCTGGTCCAAGAAATTCAGACTGGTTCACCATATTAGATGCATCAGGGGTGACCTACCTTTCCCAGAAGTATAACGTGTGTTCACTGAGACTTCTTTGTTTTAACCATAACTGTCAGTTGTTACACAGGTGAACTCTTTATCATACCGATGCTAACATCGATCCACTACGTGGCCAAGTTTGCCACAGAGCTGACACTGTAACCTAGTTCGCCCACGTCCCCTTACATTGTTCCTCATACCAGGTCTATTAGCAGAACGATTCGATCTGGAATCTTGTCGACTGGGTGCATTGAAAGACCCACGACCCATACTGCCCTGAGCTAAATTTGCACTAACAGGCAGCAGGTCAGCTTGTTCATCAAACCCAGCCAACTATGACTCAGCATCCATTAGCATTGTGTAAATGATGTCTAGTGACAAAGTTTATTTCATAGTTGTTATAACTGCCATAAATGGCTGGTATTCACGTGGCAAACTTTTCAAGATTGTAATAATATGTTCAACATGAGAGATAGCACTTCCACAAGAAGTAAGTGTATAACACACCTCTTTCACTCATGTAAGATAAGCGCACATGTTGTCACCGCCCTTCTTCAACGAGTGAAGTTTGTAATGAAGATTCATTAAAGCTATTGTGGACCTGTTTGCAAAGAATTGCAACACTGTTCGCCAAACTGCTGTACCAGTTTCTGCTCCCACGAACTGAGGTAGAAGATGAGGGCTGATGGTCGATAATAGCCAAGAAGCAACAACACTATCTTGTGCTATAAATTCTTCATAGCTTTTATTAACTCACCATCATCATCTATCACAGTCTCTGGTGGAGGCATCATGGCTCCGGTTAAGAGTCGTTCAAGGCAGTGACTCCGAATTGTCAACAAGATTTACTGCTTCCATAATAATAAATTTGTCTCATCAAGAATGATGTTGACCTTCTTGTTCGAAAAACTCTTTGCACATCCAAGCGTAAGATCCATAGTAGGAACAAGACAGTAAGAACGATGCAAACATCGGAAAGAAACTCCTCAAAGTCACCCAGAACCACCGACGATTGATACCATGTTGAGTTACTGTTTCTTAACAGAATACAAGCGCATTCATCAATGGAAAATTATATGTACAAGCTATACATCTGTAAGCTATTAATACATGGTTTTGCAAGCAGTTACTGCTAACGACCTACTAACAACCTAACTAACCACCTCCAACAGCTAACAACCTCTTAACTACTGCTGACTCAGCTAACTGTTGTTTACACAGCTTACATGCATACGTATGCTGCATATACCTCTAATAGAACATCTTCAGCAAGAAAATTATTTGGAATTTAGGTAATGGAGGAAAAGTAGATTTCTGGAAGGACAATTGGACCCCTAAGTTGTGACATTTTGAAAATTACTACACTCGACCAAATGAGATCCAGAGGCGGACCCAGGATAAAAATTTAGGGGTTGCACAAAAAAACTCTTATAAATTTTTTTAGAAACTACGATATCTATAAATATAATAAAATGTCTAGAAATTACATTCTAAAGTTAACCTTTTCGTGTTTTTATTTTTTTGAAAGCGATTGATTACACTTTTAATCTTAATATCTAAAAGTGCTTCTTTTTCTATTGCGTAAATTAGGGCATGATTCATAAAATCATCACTCATTTTGTTGAGAAAGTCCATCTTTAAAAGCTTCATTGCAGGGAAAACATCATTCAACCATTGCAGTTGCAACCAGCAGAACCAAAACTAACTTTAATAACCTATAGACCAAAGGAAAAGAATGATGTTTCCCTGTTTCCACCATCAAGCGAGAAAGGTCAGCAATTCCATTCAAGTTAGCAAATCTTTCATCATGTAGCAAACAGTGATAGTAGATATCAAGTTGACCAAGAAGATATGCCCTTTCTGAATCACTAAAATCATCTGGGTACATCTCACTTAACTTCAACAACTTTGGTTTATCAAACTTAGAAAATGAATCACAAGGACTCAAAGCCGCCATGTTTTCTAGCAATTTGATGCTTACCTCACTAAATCGATCCCTAAATTCTTGAATTTGCATATCCAAAACCGTGTTAAAAATCTCAACCTCAAAATGATACTGATTAGTAATCTTGGTCCTACGGTTTCTTGGAGTAACATAATATTCCGACATATCCAAAGTTTCAATGCTATGTTTTTTACAAAAATAATATACTTTCTTTAAAATTGAACCAAACACGTCATTTCTTAAAGTTTGCAATGATTTCTTTGTTCCTCTTACCAATGAAGCCACTTCCAAAATATCTTGATTTTTCTTTGAAGATGTCTTGACAAGGTATCCGTGAGACCTAAAATCTCCAACATCAAGTGTAAATAAAACACAAAATCAAGTGTTTTAAAATATGATAAAATATCGTACGCTTGATTTCGGTTAGATAAAGTTGAGCCATCCTTTTCAACATATTTAAGCACCTCAATAACTTCAAGAAACAAATTCATCAAACTTATGATTATTTTATAATGGGAACCCCATCTTGTATCTCCTTCTCGAATTAGAGAAAGCTCTTGATTCAACCCTCTTCCAGTTTCAGTTTCACCAATACCAATTTTCGTTTTTAATCTCTTTTTGTAGCTCTCTCGTACGATATCCTTTCTTTTGCAGGAAGCATAAACCACATTAACCACCAAAGCTAGTTGCTCAAAGAAGTTATGAGCACCATCATGATTCTTTGCAACCGCCACGATCATTAATTGAAGTTGGTAAGTAAAACAATGTACATAATATGTTGGCTTATTATCTCTTAAGATCAACGCTTTCAAACCGTTAAACTCACCACACATATTACTTGCTCCATCATAACCTTGCCCTCTTATCTATTTCAAATAATAGATAAAAGATTTAATATATAAAAATAAAGATTCAATTAAATAATTAAAATATAAATCAAATAAATATGACATATTACCTGAGCCATGCTTAATTTATTGTCAGTAAATATGTAATCAATGGCAGCTTTAAGAGTCAAAGAAGATGTATCTGTCACGTGAATAACTCCAGTAAATCTCTCCTTAACAACTCTAAGTCTATCAACATATCTCAAAACCATAGCCATTTTCTCCTTTTTAGATACATCACTAGACTCGTCAACTAATATGGCAAACACATCCTTACCAATTTCATCACAAATGGACTTTATTATTTCTTTTGAAAAACATTCAACAATATCTTTCTGAATCTTTGGAGATGTCAATTTATCGTTCTTCGGAGCCTTTTCTAAGGTAACATTATAAATACTCTCATTGTGTTCTCTAATCAAAGATAATGTTTCAATGAAAATCCCTCTGGAAATGGAGTCATCCGACTCATCATGACCACGAAAATGTAACATATTTTTCAACAAAAAATCTCCAAGTGGCAATTGTAGCACGTAATCGAATTTCATAGTTACTCTTCTCATGTTCAGTTTGCTTATGAAGAGCAACACTAGTAGATTGATTTTTTCACTAGATTTTCACACTTTTGTCGTGTAAACTTTCAACATTACCTACATGAGCATATAACGATTTCTTTTTACTCCAAGTGCTAAATCCTTCCGTCACAAATGCATCTCTCCCACCTTGTTGTCCTATAATATCTCCAAATAAGTAGCAACATAAACAATAAGCTTTGTCCTCCTTTATGCTATACTCTAACCAATCAAATTCATCAAACCATTCAATGACAAAGCGTCTTAGCTTAGGACCTATCTTTTTTGATGGAAAAGTATGACCCCTTTGTTGACATGGTCCTTTGATCCAATATGCCCTTCTTATTTCATCTTTTTGATTTGGATGATAAGATGTAATTTTTGGTTTATCTGCCGGATCTGAAGGAAGATCATTCACATTAATAGTTGTTGGAATAGAAGCCATGGGAGTAGGTGACACAGTGGTAGGTTGTGGTCTTTGTGGAACTTCATTTGAGCTATTTCTTTTATAAGATCCTTCACTACTTCCATCAGTACCAACATCTAATTTCCTTTTAAATTAGTTACCAATAGAACCCTACAATTAAATATTTCAATAAATAAAATGATTAATATATTAAAAACTCAACATATAATAATTATAAACTATGAATTACTACTTTACTTTAATATCCTAATTTTAATACATCAAACTAAACAAAACCTAATTTTAATGAATTAATCAGTTTCAAATAACAAAGCAATATTATATACTAGTTTACTACCTTTATTGTTAAATATGAATGAAAGAAGACAAAGTGAGAAAGATAATAAAATCATTAATGTAAAGAATAAATTAAGATAAAAGAAAGTACACATACTTGTCTCATTTGTATATTTGGAGAAAAAGGTAGAAAGGAGAGATAAAAAGGTCCCTTTCCAGGTTGCAAGTTTCAACTTTCACAGCCCCTTCCACAATTTCACTTGTTGTCTTCGAGATTTCCACTCTGCACCTTGCCTTTCAAAAGTTCAAAGTTCAATCGACTACTGTCGGCTTCCCCTTCAAAGTTCAATCGCACCAGGAAGGCAATGAGGCAACCCTTGCGGCCTTGCCTTTCTAAGATGGGTTGAGTTTCCACAAGACCACAGCGGCACAACCTTTGTCAGCGGTTCACGGTTGCCCTTCTAATCTTCAATCGAGGTTTTCAGTTTCCACAGAGGCACAACCCTTCTAATCTTCAATTGTCGTATCCCAATTCCCACAAAACTAAAAATAGGTGTTTGATTCATGGGCTTAAGGTTTGTTTTTTGGGCTTGATCTCTTTTTTTAATTTTAAATAGGATATTAATTTTTTCCTATAATAAAAAGTAACAGTTACACACAATATTAGGGGTGACACTTGTATTAATTAAAAAATTAGAAAAAATTAACACTAAGTAACACAAGATCACAGGTCCGTTTTTGTTAGGAGTAGCACTCGTATTAGATAAAAAAATCATAAAAAATTAACACTATTCAGAGAAATTTGAAGGGTTGCCCCGGGCTACCCGACTACTCATAGGTCCGCCCCTGATCATAAGGGTAACAAGGTCGCTGATGTACTCGTCAGATACGTTTGGCCTCTCCCATTGGGATTGCATGAATATGATGAACCAGCTATAGTAGTTGCAATGATTACTCGAAAGGAAGAAAGAGAATAGGTCCTTCACCCACCTTGTAAACAAATATATATATATATATAGTTTGTAGATTTATTTTTGCATCAAGCCTATAATTTAATATATTAATTTTAAAGCATAAAATTACAATGGAGTGGAGTAAGCAAATTTTGTCGGTTGACCAAGCTGTTCATCTTTGTTTCTTATAATTTCTTAGATCATGAGTTCTAGACTCACTAGGAGAACTCCCCTCCCTTCTTCCTAGAGTCATTCCCTTCCCTCTAAATAAAATTATGATTAGATTTATTATTTATAAAAATTATATTGACAGAGATATAAAATAAATTTTATAAATATAAAGTAATTAATAACTCTGTATATTATAATGGCAAATAAAAATAGAAACATGCATATGTTACATATCTAGAGTGTTGGCATTTGACAACTTGAAATTCGATTGTTTTATGTAATTGATTTCTAAAAAAATTACTATAATTATATATTTTTATTTTTATTTTATTAAATAAAATAATTATGGAAACAGTTAGATCATTAACGTATAGAACCAATTAAAACATTACGTTATATACTAAAAATTGTCACTAAATGCATACATCTATTGCATGCTAAAAACTTACATGAATAATCAACAATTTATAAACTAGGCGGTTAAAAGTTATAGTTGAAATCTCTCCTCCTTTATACTGTGAGTTACATACGCAATAGGAGTAAAATTTTTATTTTTCTTCCCTTAAATAGAAATTACTCAAAAACAATTGTTAACCCATTTTTTATAACAAAATAAAAATAGTACGACTTCTTGAAAAATAATGGCAGTCACTATCAATCAGATTAAGTGTGATCGGATCATCAAAAATTATTGTTTAGGTGTACGAAAATCAAAATTGAGTTCAGGGACACGGTTACATGTGAGGAATGATTAGCATCCTCACAATACCCGTAAAAACAACTCTTACTTGATTATGAATATTTTGTCTTGGTTCATGCATGCAGTTAATGTATTTTTTAGATTAATAAGGAATTTTAAATTCTCAAGAATAATTTTGAATTCCCTAACGGCTAATGGAATCAAAATTACACTCGAAAATATAAAAAAGTCATAAATTAATCTATATAAAATTTTGAAGGCGAAGTCTTTCATTGGTAATTTCGTGCATTCCTCAACATCTAGAAGAATATTGAAATTTAATCCCATTCAAGAAGACACATTGATTTTCATAAATTCGACTCAAAACTATCACAACCGGCCCTTCAGGGGAAAAGTCGGCTAGTTATGACAATGAGGATTTTTGAAAAGATTTTTAATGAAAAGTTTGGAGTCACCACCAATCATTTTTAAGGTATGATTAGAACACCTAAAATTTAGAAGTTTTAATAAAACATTTTATTTTATCAAAATACTAAATTTAGTATGTGAAAACCAAAAATCAGATTCGTGTGTTGGTTACGCGTTGGGAGGGATTAGCACCCCCACAACGCCCAGAGATACCAAGTTGACTACCCTATATTTAAAAATTAGAATATTTGAGTTTGAGCTTTTATTTAATTTAAAATCCACTATGCATGTAAGTTTTGAAAAGATTATCAGTTTACCAAGACCAATAACGACCACCATCATGCATTTTATGTGAAAGCTTCGTTATCAGTCCCAATAAAAAGATATTTCCTTGATAATTAAGAAAGTATGATGTAGGGTTTTGAAAAGAATGTTGATTTACTTCTAAAATTACTAGTGGTCACCCCCTGAGCATCATAATACAGAGGCTACACTATTAACTTCCTTGGTAAATGAACATTGCCTTATTATTTTTTTAAAGATCAAAATGCAATCACGCAACCATTTATGAACCTAATTATACTTGGTGAGTTAATGAAGGATTTCTCTAACCTAGATTGTTAAATTATGAAATTTAAAGAACCTAAAGGACTAAATCTAAAAATGGACGCTCTAATATTAATGCTAATTGATTTTAACCAATTATTGAATTGAATAATCAACTTGGACCCTTGGGCATTTTAATGTGAAGGTCAAATCGAATTATTCCATAAATTAAGGGAATAAAGTGAAATTTAGCCTAAAGTGGAGAGTTTGTTATTAATCCTAATCAATTTTAACCAATTATTGAATTGAATAATCAACTTGGACCTCAAGCATTTTAATGTGAATGCCAAAATCAAATTATTCCGTAAATTAATTGACTAAAATGAAATTTAGCCTAAAGTGGAGGCTCTAATATTAATACTAATCTAGTTTAACCAATTATTGAATCGAATAATCAACTTGGACCCTTGGGCATTTTAATGCGAAGGCCAAATCGAATTATCCCATATTTAAAAAAAGTTCAAGGACTAGTTTAAAATAGTTCTAAAGTTGAGGGACTAAATCTAAATGAATTCTAAATTCAAGGACTACGTTAAAAGAATCTAAGCCTAATAGTGTTGAAACTAGGACAAAAGAGAAATGCACTAAAACAAATTCAAATTGTACTAACATAGCATGATTATAACTAGATTAAAAAAATACAAAAACATCATTGCTTAGATTAAAAACCTAAAAAATATAATAAATTTGCAGGGTCTAAAAAACTAATTATCTTTTTTATTATTCTCATAAAATAAAAATGGAAATTGCCCTATTTAATACTCTAATTAGAACTAAAGTAGCAAACAAACATATCATAGGGCCAACTTATAAATTAGAGGTAAAATTATAGGGACCTAAGGCTAAAATTTCTTTTTTATTCTTACCCTAATATATAAAAAACTAAAGGGGGAAATAGCTAAATCAAGGCTTCAATTAATGATGAAATAACATAAAAACCCAAAGATTGGTGACTAAGATGCAAAAAAAGCTTTTAAATTAGAAGGATCTAAAGGAAATTTCTCTTATTTGCTTTAAAATGACATAAATGGAAAATCGCAAAACCAAGGCTTGCACATTCGAAATGATTCATGAAATCAAAGAAAATGAGGGACTAACTTACGAAAACAAGCTAGAACTACGGGGATCTAAGAATAAATATCTCAAAACAAGCTATATATATGTTTTCCTTTTTTCCAACCTCTCTTCCTAATCTCTAATCAGCCGAATGACCAAAGCCCTCTATTTGACCATAAAATCAACTACCAAGGCCTCTATTTGAGCCCGTCTTTTTGCAGGTACTTACTCATTCACTAGATTCATAATCAAAGGTAGGAGTGCCTCACATCACATATCTTAGTACGACCATGCAAAAATTCCCTGAACTCCTAGAGTAAATCTATCAATTCTCGTCTTACTCCTGTAGACATAGTAGTGTAAATCTTCACTTATCTTC